GGATGGGCTCAGGAAGGATTTCAGTCGCTGCCTTAGGGAGACAAACCCACACACGCCAGGGCCAGAGCCCTTCCACCACACCGACGGTGAGCAGTCCTGCCTGGAGAGCACACGGAGATGTACAGCAAGCTATAAATAGTATTTATTCATTTTTCTATGAAATCCTTGTACTGGAGATGACCTTCTTACGACTTTCTGCTTTTATAGATGTTCCGGGAACTTTGATATGTAGAGATCCACTCACGGGGACCTTTCTTTTCCCCTTGAGCTAGTTGAAGGTTTTCTCTGCCCCCTCGGCAAACCTTTCGCTTGATCCCTCGGCGCCTGGTGAGGAGCCACTCTGCTCTCCAGGGGCTTTGTGTGGCTGTGGGAGACAAACCTGAGTGTCCCCTGTGCCCTGCACAGATCCCCTCAAGAAATGAAGTCACTGAGACTTTGCTACCGTAAAGTGCGAGGGAACGAACAACAACAAACTCAATTTCTTTTTGTGTGGTTGTTTTTTTTTTTTCTTTTTTTTTTCTTTTAACATCCTGTATCTATTTTTGGGTCGTCTGAAGCCTTCGAGAAGCGAGAGGATGGGAGACAGGGCAAGCAAATGGCTGAAATTTCCAAAGTCTCAGCTCTTTTTGCGCATGCTGGGTTTTAAAAGAGAAAATCCAAACCACGAGAGTGGTGTTTTGTGTGGGTTTTTTTCTTTTTTTTTTTTTTTAAAGCAGCCAGAATTTTCCAATGTCTGGCAGATTTGCACTGACCCCTGGCTCAGGTGCCTTTAACATCGGTACCCCCGAGTCCCAGCAGCCAGCCTTTGGCACGTGAGCTCCAAACCCCCACACTTCCAAAAAGAGGAAGAAAAAAAAAAAAAACAAAAAGGTGAAAAGCACGGAAAAAAAGAAAGAGGATTATCAGCACCTGGTGGCTCTGTTAGGTGTCTGCCAAGAGCCCTCCCTCACCCTCCTCCAGCAACCACCTTGGGAGTCCCGCCGGAGCCGTGGGTCGTGGTGCCCCTGGGCACGGGACGGGGCTGTTGAACGCCGGGCAGGCACAGAGGGGGTGAAAGAGGAGGTAGAAAATGGCTGAGTTTTGGTTCTCATTTAGACAGACCGAGTCTGAAGGTGTTGATCTGGTGTAAATAATCTTTTTTTCAGTGTTGTGCCTTGTTGAGTTACTTCCATTGGTGAAATGCTGCGTGGGGGCTACTTTTGTTTTTTTCTTCCCCTTTTTCTTTTTTTCCCAAACTAATAATTCTCAGACCTTTGCACTGTTTGGACATGCTCCAAGGGCAAAGCAGGAACCCTCTGAAACGATGCACTAACCTGGAACGAGGCTGGAGATGGGTGGCTGATCCTGGCTGGGACCAGCTGCAGATGCTTTTGGTCTCTTTGGGTCCCCCCCTTCCTCACCGAGGCGTGGGGCCATGCCAGCCTTTTCCTGGAATTCACTGATCCACCAGCATTCCTAAGAGATAAGCTGCAGGAAGGACACTTTTATAGATTGTGATTAAAAATGAAGCACAGGGGTGGGGAGGAGCCGCTGGCAGCCTCGGTGGGCGAGCGGGACGCGTGGCCGGGGCCCGGCTGGTCGCGTTCTCCCTTGCAGAACCAGCCAAAGCTGTGAGGTTTCTTCCATCCCCTTTGTCTCTCTGGCCTGGCGGGGTGTGAGCCGTCTGAACCAGCCGAGCCAGAACCATCTGGGCACTGGGTGGGTCTTGACGTGTTTTGTTTGTGCTTATTCATCTTTTTAAATTTTTTGTTTTGTTTTTCCTCTCCTGTCTCCTTTATGCTTCCCAAGAAGCGAACCCGCTCTGCTGTTGCCTGTGTTTTGGGCAGCTGAGAGCGGGGGAGCAGCAGAGGGGAGAATTCTGTTTCCAGCCATTCGGTTCCTGCTGTAAATACCCCGTCTCCATCCCCAGTCCCGTGCCCAGACCATCTGATGGTGCTTTTTATGACCGTTAGCACACGCGTTTTTAGGAACTCCATGTTTTAGAAGCCCTTTGCTGTGTATATGGACACGTCTCTGTGTTGTTCAACTGTTAGAAAATATTATTTCATTATGAAAAAGAAGTGTGTGCTGGCTGCTGCCTTGGGAAGCGAGCGGGAGACTCCCGGGGCGTTTCCTGGAGGGGTGACGGGTGAGGGGGGATTGGACCCCCAGAAGGCTGAGCCTGGCACCACAGGTACCACCTCGGCGTCGGTTTTCTTTGAGGGAGTGGCCACCTCCCCCCTGCCCTGTTCCTGGTTTTGGCACCCAGCGGGGGTTTTGTTTCACCGCTGAGGGTCCTTGGGCAGAGCTGGCTCCAGCCTTGGGTCGCTGGTGCCCCTGGGTGCTGGGAGGGCCCATCCTGTCCTCTCCCGTGGGGCTCAGCCCCCCCAAATCCACCCCTCTGGGGGGTGCTCCTGGACCTGGCCACAGCTCCCCTGTGGGCAGCCCTGGGCAGGTTCTACCCACTGCCACCCCTCAGACCTCCCAGCACACCCCAGGAGTCCTCAGAGAAACCTCAAAGCTGCGTTTGTCCCACAGGCAGGTTTGGGGGGGAATGTTGGGACATGATGATTTTAATTCACCCCCATCACCTCGGTCACTCCCATCGGGGGTGGGTTCACCTGTGGGTGCCCAGACTGGGTGGGATGATGCTGGGGGGCACCCGGCTCTGCACCCACCCCCCAGCAGCAGTCCAGGAGGGACAGCAGTCCAGGAGGGAGGGGTGACCCCCCGACCTCCCTGCTCCTGGTGCTGGGGGCGGGAAGTTAAGCCCCAGCTGGTGAAGCACCAACAGGCCGCAGGCAGGAGGGCAGCAGAACCAGGGACAGAGTGGGTGGCATCAGTGCCACACAACCCCCCCGGCACCCCACTTCTCCCTTCCAAACCTCCCACTGCCACTAGGGCTGGAGGAGAGGTGCAGACGCGGGGCAGGGGGCCGGGGAGAAGGAGGCAGCTCCAGCCGCCATCGTCATCGCTGGCCTGGTCCTCGTGGGTGCCGTGGCCCACCAGGATGTCCCCTGCAGTGCCAGCACCCTCATCGACTTTGTCACAGCGCAGGCACCTGAAGCTGCAGGGAGACATGTGGGGTGGCACAGGGACCTGGGGCACATGGGGTGGATTTGGGGAAGGAGGGCACAGGAGGTGGCAGAAGGGACATGTAGGGTGACGTGGGGCCACAGCAGCCTGGCATGCACAGGGTGGCACAGGGGACTGGGACATGCAGGCTGGAGGGGTGGAAGGGGCATGATGATGTGTGGCTTGGCACAGGGGATCGTAAGGAGGCACAGGAAACTGGGGGCACACAGGTCGGCACAGGGACAGGCACGTGGGGCAGCCCGTGTGCTGAGATGCACTTTAATCGGAAGGACAGGGGGGTGTGGTCTGACACGCCAGCACTGGTGACACCACATCCACCTGTGGAACAGGCCAACCCCAGCAGCCACAGACGTTCCTCAGCTGCCTTCAAACCTCAGAACCACAAGGTCAACCCACCCGTGGTTGTGACAGAGCCTCCCCTGAGGGGGTTCTCCTCCCCCTCTGCCCTTCCGTGGCCACTTCTGCAGGATCTTCTCTGGAGATTCCAAACCCACCTGGACACCATCCTGGGCACCCTGCTCTGGGTGACCTGCTGGGGCAGGGGGGTTGGACAGGATGATCTTGAGAGGCCCCTTCCAACTTCTGCCACGCTGGGATCCAGTGAAACTCCTGCTTTATTCCCCACCCAGTCCCCAGGGGCCCCCACGGTCACTACAGGTACTTGTACACCACCCTGCTGGGCACCGTCTGCAGCTCCAGGCGCACGGGGCACTTGTAGAAGTGGCTGAGGAGGGTCTCGGTGTAGCCCACCAGGAAGTGGAGCTTGGCGGGCGCCAGGCCCTGCACCAGCACGGCACACAGCACCAGCAGGTTGCCCCGGCGCTTCAGCACCACCTCGTCGGCCAGGATGCCCGGGAAGGTGCCGC